CACACTCGCACACCTACACCACTGCCTATCACCCAGTGTCAGCTCAGCTGTCGGCGCTGTCGCTGTCAGTGAAATGGATGACGCAAGCGATGTCTAGGTTGCCGATTATTAGTAGGCCTAGTATGTCAATATTTAAAGGGGTTAAGGGATTAAATAAAACTCAAACATTTTCCTTTCTTACTATTTATTTGTCAAATATCAATGAAAATAACGAAATCGGCGTAACGTCTACTACTCGACTCGAGTCACGAGTATCTTTAACTACTCGACTCGACTGTCGAGTATTGCCAACTACTCGAGTAATTACTCGACAGTCGAGTACTCGCCCACCCCTACTGGCCGGCGAGTGGTATTCCAATCACAGGACAAGATACGTTGTTTTTTGGGTATTCATTGCCCGGTTTGACTTTGGATTGTCTTACTGTGTAGAAACTTTGAATAATAAAAAACGAGGTGTAAGCCCGTCCTACGTACGGGAGTAGTCAGTTAAAACTGTGTATAATTCAAGACAGCTAGCTTACATATAAAGACAAATTAATGTTATTGCAGCCTACAGTAGAAAGAGTAATTATCAATTGAGAAGTGTATATGCCTATTGCCTAGTCAACGATATCACCTTCCAATTCCATCGAATACCTGTCTCTTCCATAATCAATATCACCACAATACAATTCCTACAGATACAATTACAAATACCATACACAATTTCCAGTAGGTCTGAGTAGAAACTCCCTAAAATAAAACTAAAACATCCAATAATTATAACGTTGGTGTCCTGACCTCATTAAACGAATTGTCCACAAATATCCTTCATATCAATTTCACTGCATCAATTGCTAAATAAATAAGTGTAAACAAAGAAAAGTAAAAACGACAACATATAGTATGACATCAATATTTCCGGGCCTAATCCAAACAAAGTTTAAGCATTCAAAAACACTGATTGTAAACAAAAAGCCACCAATATGAATTAAAACATGTAAAAATTGTGATTTTCCTACCCTTTCCTAAAAAAGTTGAGCAGTAAAATAATTTGCATATCCTTTTTTTAAAGACTCGTGTACAGAGCCTCGACTTGTATACATCGATGGTGTTACTAATCTCGGTGGACTACTAATCTTACTTATTTCCTATAATCAATGACAAAATCATAGTAAATAAAATAACCTCATAGTTCTATAGAGCATTTTTATATTTAACCAGCTGTTAGTTAAAACAAATTATATTGCACTAAAACAAACCGAAAATTACAAAGATTACTTAAAAGAATAATTTGAACATCCTAGTATTTTACTATGTATATTTAAATAATCTGTCATCCTCTTACCGAAGAATTGAACGAATCAATGATCAGCATTACACATAGTATAAATAAGTCAACCCTAAGTATGTCATTGCATTTTTATCCAAATGCTGAATTCGTGACACAAAAGCTGAATGTTTACAGCTGTTATGTTAAGCAAATTATTTTATGCCAAAAGCTAATTTAGAATCTTAGCGTCGGCTGCTAGACTTTTTAAAAATTAAAACTTTATTTCTAAAAAAACTTGGACCCTAAACTAAAATTATGGCTTCGACATTCCCTAGTTCTCAAAATTATCTTTCTTTCAACACAAAAATCATGAAAATCAGTCGAGTGGTTGATTCAGAATCGTGAAATAAAAAAAAAACACTGTTTCGTTTTAATATTATAGATAAAGTTAGAACTAACCACGATTATTTAGCATTGATTGTGCACATATTAAATGATTAAACGATAGGACCTTGGATATATACAAACTTTTGTCGTGATTTTAATTTCAACATCAAAATACAATATTGCACAATCGTGATATTTTAGGTCATTGACCTTTATTATGCATCCGGTATTGCTGTTTCAGAAGAGAAGCACATTGATAAATTATAAATTGATATTCCCGTAGTTAAAAAGAATTATTTTATAAACCTATAAAACAAAATCATAAAATCTTACATAAAGATAACAATAACGGAAATTGTAAAAAGGGTATAAAGATAACAACGTCGTTATTCTTTCTCTTTGTTCTTCTATTTCTTGGGTTTCCCTTCATCACGCATTCAACAAGTTGCCATGGTTACTAATCACCCATGTCGTTATCAGCTTTTGTGACATAGCGCACAGCAGGGGGGTAAAACTTGACGAAAATCTTAATTTTTACCTATTATTTAATTACCAATGAATGTACTACTTTATTGGTATTTGGCACTGTATTAATAATCGGTCAAAATGACAGATTTTTGTCAAATTTTACACCAAATTTATTGAAATTTCAAGGTGAATATTAATAAAACAATTATTATCAAATATTTGTATTCATTTAAAAGATTGATTTGTGGTATTGGGTTCCCCACTGAGTGCAGCCGAGCGGCACTAATGAGGGTCGGACCTTCTTGGGGGTGAACAATAGACGGCTTATCAGACCCTTCCCTCCCCGTGGTCTGGAGAAAGCTTGTAAACAAACTATTGCACAAGCGTGACTTGACATTGGGGTGCTTCAACTATAATTTTGTCAAATGAACTGTGATGTTTCAAAATCAAAAACAATCATTTGGGACCATACTGCTTATCAATAATGGACTGCAATTATTGTTGAACATACAATCCATTTTAACAAACTAAGATTATACGATTCAAATACAATTATGAAAATTATCTTGGTATTTTACTTGGGGTAATGAAGTTATGTAGGCTAGTGTAATTCTCGGTTCATCAAGGTTCTACTTAATTATGTTTGGCAGTGAATAAGTAGAATGCAATTTATAAATTAAGGGATACACACCTTTTACACAGTTATAAAGTCTAATTGCCCAACATCAAATCGTGAGCCCATCTTAGTGCATTAGTGATGTTTTCTAAACTTGGCAAACCCGCAAAATGCCACATAAGGCCAATAATCCGTTCCAAAAACGTAAGGAAATACAATGTGAAAATAAACTTGAGATTGAACTCCTTGGCTTGTGAGAACCAGGAAACAAGATAAAACATAACCTCAAGTAAACAAGCCCAAACGTTTGACATCAGTCCTGCTGAGCTAAGGTGTTGTGTGAAGATTTCGGCTGCTAGTGTACTTAATTCAAGCAACCAACTTTTGAAAATAAATGTTGTGAATTGTGATTTTCAAGAGAGAGAAAACTGTGGACTTGGCTAATTTGAAATTCTATAGTTCAAAATCGTCATTTAAGTTTATTTACACAGCTTTACATTGTTTTATAGGTTAAAAATAAAAATACATATGCAGCTTATTAATAACCGCGCCGAACTATCGGAATCCGATAATATCCGAATCCGAACCTCCCAATATCCGATCCGATCCGAACCGAGCCTCAACTATCCGATCCGAATCCGATCCGAAATGAAATTTCACTATCCGCACACCTCTAGTGATTACATCTAAAGGCCCTAGAGAACACTGCCGACCCGACTTAAAAGAATTGAATATCCTCACAATGGTGAGCCAGAATGTACTCAATAGTCTGGTCCTGCTAAAGGAGAACCTGGGTGATTTTGAGACACGTGGTGATAGGCATGAGTATGGAATAAGAAGGGCCCATGACCTTGATATACCTCGCTGCCGCTTAAGCCACACCTTAAGGAGATACCCTCGTTCGGCAATTAAGATCTACAACTCCCTGCCAAACAGCCTAAGGAACCTTGACTGTACAGCGTTCAAGACCGAGTTGAAGAGCTCGCTCACTAATAGGACCCTGTACAGTCTTGACGAGTTGTCTAAAGATCCTCTAATGCCGGGTTAAAATAACAGACACGCATACCACAGCCTAAGTTTTAAAATTTTAAGTTTTTTGAAATTTTGTATAGCAAGTTTTGTAAATTAATAATTTTGTAATTATTAGTATAATGACGCAATCTATTCGAGATACTTCGGTCAAGGATTAAGACAACAAGTATAACAAGTAAGTATTACTTGGACATTGGTATCAATATTGAGAATCAAAAATTTGATTTGTCAAAAGTCGATTCCGATACCGATACACGACTCGTCTGCGACTTCATCCGATCAGAAAATTACCGCTATTGCTGCGATCGCACAAGACAACGATGACGTTTCCGTGACCGCGGAAGACAAAGATAATGTCCACACGGCCGTTGGAGATGATCACCATATTACTTTGACTTTCCCTTGACTGAAAAAATCAGGCTTTTGCACCTCTAGTTAAAGCAATAATTTTTTAAAGATTTGTTGTTGTTAGATCTTCATTTACTCTAGATATGGTAGTTATTTAATGTGTTTAGAAGGGATTAAACTTAAATTGGCTGGTTAGATTATTTCATTACAGCATTAATTTTCTTTACTTGAAAATCACTGCATTTTCTCAAAAATACTTCATGGAAGAACATAGAGACAGAGGTTGGTGTTGTATGACAAATCCAATCAGAAAATTTGGTAAAACTATAAAAGAAATGGTATTGAGAATCAATTTTTCAGGTATCTGTATCGGTATCTAGAGTTGATCAATTTTGGTATCGACCCACCACTATTTCCTCCAAAACATCCGTTTTGGCAAATTCTTGTGGGATCTGTTTCATATAGATATGTAGAGTCATGATATCAAGGTTGACTTCTCAGAATTACATGTCATAGAGGTTCTGAGTTGCCTTGTGATTTGGAAAAAATGTGTCTTATTGAGGTTGTTTTAGTAGAAGTACTTGTATTATAGAGGTTAATTTAACATAGAGTGTTATGGCTTTTTCAAATGGATTTAAAAAGTACAGTTGTAATTGAGGTTGTCAAGTCACTGAGGGTCGTGTAAACGAGTTTCTACTGTTTATGGATTTTGTATTTATATTTCATTGGTAAATCAGTCATGAAAATCAATGTATGAGGGCATAAAATAGATTTTAATTTACTTTTTATATTCATATGTAAATTAGTCAATCACATCAGATTCATGCCACAGCAAAGTCCAGGCAGGCAGTTGTTAGACATGATTATCCCTATGAATTAATTATTAACTTATTTAACCTTTGAGATGTAGCAGCTGTCACTTGAAGGTAGTATTTGCAGACCGTCCAGAAAGAAACAGCTTTTGTGTCTCTGAGTAGAATGGCTGTGATGAGACACTGGTCTACTGTGAAGGCTTCACTGTGTTCTAGAGCATCAATCCTCATCATCTCTACTTGCTCATTTACATCTGCGTTCAAATGAAAATACAGATATAAGCAAATTTATATTTTTCTGAATTAACTGATTTTAAATTAAATCTATTAAAATAACATTAGGGTACCAAGGTTTCCTGCTACAAGAAAACTAATAAAGTGTGTGTTTTTGGTTGAATATTAAATAGCTTAGTATAAAATCAAGAAACTTGCCAAGTTTGATCAAAATATATCCGAAAACAAGCAAACTACAGCACTTTACAATATTCTCCATAATAATAACATGGGAATTTTAAATTAATTTTTTTTTTCTCCGTTACCGCCCTACAAAAACACTTTGATATACTATATTTTTTATTTTTAAACTCTTTAAAAAGGTCTTGAGATAAATTGGGAAATTTTATTTTTTGAGGGTCAAAAGTTAAGAAAACCAATTTTTACCCCATAAAATCCCCCACAAAACCCTCTTCCCATGGTCTGATCGGTTCGTAAACTCATTCAAGTTTATTCCGCCTTACACCTTTAAACCAAATTTGATCAAAATCGGACAAAGATTACTCAAGTTATTATGTTCACGGAGAATAAGCTATTACCGTAGGTCTCGTGGTAAGACCTAGATCTGGGACCAATTTGCTTTTTTGTTTTGAGGCCCCCAGAGGCCAAAAACACCCTCTGTTCAAATTCACATTTAATATATTATGTGTCCATTAGAGCGATAACTCGAGCAAAAATGATCAGATTTTAATGAAATTTGGTACAAACATGTAAACCTTTGTTTATTCGAACACGTTCGCAAACCAGCATGGTCGAACTATGAGAACGGGGGTTTATGAGGGGTTTTATGGGGTAAAAATTGGTTTATCCCATTTTTTATACTAAAACACAAAATTTCACAATTTCTTCCCAAACCTCTTTTTTTAAGTAGAGCTTAAAAAAAGAAATTATTTTGTATATTGAAGCGTTGTATGCCTAACAGTTACGGAGATAATTAAAAAAAAAATTGTAAATAAAAAACTCCCATGTTATTCTTATGGAGAATAAAATACCCCCGCCACAGCAAACCTGCAGATTAAGAGAATTTCCACTTGTCTGATTACATTTTTACTATAATATTTCCATAAATAAGACAAATGTATTAGGTTGGGTCGAAAAAAATCAATAATTTTTTTTCCAGTTGTAATACCTTGGAAAAGTTGCTAAATTGTAATACCAAAACAGGGTAAAATATTAAAAATATTGGTTGTTATCTTCCAGTTGCGCATGTGCTCTTAAGTTTAAACAAAAAATGAAAAACTCGTTTTTTATCAGAAATTTTTAGCATATTAAAATTTTGTATTTTTAATATGTAATAGTTGAAAATCTCATTTACAAGACACTAAAAAATAGATATTTAAATAATAGTATTGTATGTTATTTAAATTAACACATTAACATAATGTTTATTCTTAATATAATTGCGGAGAGGTGCAGTTTTTTTAAAACATCGTCTATGTGAAGGTTTGTAAGGATCTAAGTAAAAACTTTGAATACCGTGAGAAGAATTCTCACAAATGAAGTTTATGTTTTGATGTTTTTTTGTATTCGGCCTAGTGACTATGCCAACATTGTGCAAAACACTAGAGGCTAATTGCAGTTGTAGCACGGTTGAAAAAACCATAACGGTCGCTAAACAATGAGTAGGCCTAGAGTTAATCCTCATTTGCCTACCAATAGGTCTTTTTTTTATTTAGGTAAAGATTCTTGGTTGTTGTCACTAGAATCGTAAATTTTAGTTTGTGAGCACAGGGATACATTATCATCAAAATACTTTTGTTTTGGAAATATTCGGATTATTTCGGAATCTTACACTTCATTCGAAAATTGAGCCCCTCGCATACCTCTGCTGTAGTTGTTAAATGCTGAAATAAAAATCCCGGAGTGGCTTCGTAAATTCCAAATTTTCCTTGGTTTTACCCAGGTCCCTTTAACTTCATGTTTTCCCCCGGTTTTCCCAATCGGTATACACCTTAAAACCTTTTCTATGGCGCGCGTAGGGATGAATATGTTTGGTGAATGCAACGAGCACATAATATAAATAGAGAGGACACGCTTCTAAAGCATTGTACACCGGAGTGTCGCCAGTCCAGAGCGCCCCAACCCAGCCAAGATGGCGGTCGAAAGCATGAATCACCACACTAGCGAGCGTCGAACTACGCGGTGGTGCATTCCGACAATCCACTGTAACGCACATACAGACATGCAGTATTTGTTGTAAATCTTATATTTTTAAACAATTATAACCGTAGTAAGGTGTAATCTGTAGAGTTGAATGGTGATAGTTGACATATTTTGGATTGATTTTGTTTAATTTAGTTATTTAGCTTAGTTTCAACAGTGAATTATTTAAGTTAAGATAAACTAATGCCACAAAATTGTGGTTTTCAGGAAACCAAACTTGTTTTTTAGGAATAAAATCATTATAGACAGCAGAAATATTCCCAACGACATAAATGTACTAAAGAAAATGACCACTACTGTTATGGTACAGTTTATAGGGATGCCACTTTTTTCTGGGGACCATTGTTTTCAACAAGAAGTCGACCAAAATCACCACAGTTTACTACTAAAAAATATATGCAAGAAATATTTTACTGCAAGATTACATCATTTTAGCAAGGAATTTAATGATGAGATCCATACAAGGAATCTTAATGATCCCTATCGCTCAGGGTGGTATGGGAAAGAGAGTCGTGCTGTTAGGCTTTTGGACACATAATGTGTATGGACGAGGATTGAAAGTGGCTGAAGCCAAAAAAGAAAGAAGATTTTCACGGGTAATAAGTCCCAGACTTAACCAGGAGTGATGGTGGGGACGAGGAGTTTCCTACAAACATTTACTGACTTGGTTGAAATGAAATATTTACCTGAGTATTTCCATAATCTTTGAGTCATCATCAGAGATTATAACTGTTATTCGTTTTAAAATAACACCTGTAATACTGAGCAATTGCTCAAATTCGAGCAACAGGTACACTAGTTGATATGAAATGTATAACAGACAAACTACGCACTACTTTGAAATAGTTTCAAGCTTTAGTATTTATTGAATATTTATAACATCATATAAAATACTGTATGTTCATTACTAACTAAATTTTGCTAACAGTGTTTACAATATAGTAACAATTCTACTTTCAAGTTGCCATGTTAGAAATATCGTTGGAATTATCCAGTGATGCCCGATCGAGACCCACACGGGCCCCGCACGGCGGCAGAAATGAGTAAATATTTAGCGTTATTCAACTCACCCTAACTCCTAAACTAAGGCTCCCACAAAAAAATGCTTCAAGTGAAAAAATTACCTCATTTAATGACCTTGGCATTTATAAAACTTAAAACTCGCCTGACCAAAAAATAAAAAACTTCCCCACAGAGTAACTTTTTCATGTCAAAATCTATAATTATAAAAACATCACATTAGTTATCGTTATATAATTAAAAAATAAATACTTCAGATACAATTAAAATAGAACTGTTAGTGGAAGAAGGACCTAAACTTCAACTGTGCAAAATTTGAAAATTTTATCTGCACTTCTAAGGCACTTAAATCACGGTGTATTCTGTGCGTGTTCAATTAAAAGTTGTTCACTGCAGCGACCCAATTCGAGCCCCTTGACCAATTCAATATGGCGGAACTGGCGACACTTAGCAGTGTGGTATAGCCCCTCTATTTATATTATGTGCTCGTTGGGTGAATGACCTTGACCATGATAGGATGCTTAGTAAACAATGCGATGTGGCATCGTTAGTACTGTTATCTACGTACCTCTAGTTTTGTTCATTATTTCGTTTCGTTCAATACTGACATATGGTTAACCTATATCATAAAGTAGCATTTTATGTCTACTGCAAATTCAACATCCCAGGGGAGGGAGGCTCTCTGTTGATCCACCACTGAATGTAACTCTTAACTTAATCATTGATCACTATCTACCCACATTTATAGTACATGTGGAGTTATTTACCTTGCAAATTATCTAAGGAGAAGCCATCTTCCACAGTAAATGTTTGAGACGGAGGGGAAGTCCCAAGTAGTCTTGTACACATCAGCAGAGAGAGATGTGAATAAACTGGTGGAGGTAGCAGAGCAGGGCAGCACACAGGCTCTGGAACAGTTGTACTATTTACTGAAACCTTCCTGCAGTTGTGTAACATTGTTGCCCAATCATTATGGGACTCTTACAATTAAAAATAGGACTTTTGTTAGAAATATAGTGTATAATAAACCACAGCACTGTTAAAGCGATACTGAAGCACCTGTGTATCTAGTATAATTCACAGAGGGTATAAGAGGACTTGCTTTACAAGCCGTATTATCAAGGTAATTCTTATGTCGATTGTATTTATATAGATTAGAAAGACTTAACGCCTATTTTGTAGAATAGGTAAGCAATAGGAATCCTCCCCTAGGGTTGTTTAGGTCTAATGCAATTTTGCACACATTTAAGCTACTATTAAGCCATGGTCAAGGCCACACTCAAACTTGAAAATTTAATTCATGGTTTTCACTTCTTATACTTTACACCGCTATAAAGCACGCTGAGGAAAACTGAAGGCCACTTTTTATACTAAAATGCAAGTAGAAAATAATGATTGGCTCGTTTGCTTTGTAATACATAAATCTATGGATGTGTCGATTCTCAATATTATCGATACTTGGCCGATTGTATCGGTATCAAGAATTGATCGTCAAGAATAAAAAAAAACGTTTTCTGCAAAACGCGCAAGACAACGACGACGTTTCCATGACCACGGGAGTCAATGATGATGCCTACACGGCCGCAGAAGATTTTAATGGTTTTGCCACGATCACGGAAGACGATACACGTTTCTGTGACAGCGAAAGACGATGATGATGATGATGTCTACACCGCCTGAAAAAAAAAATCATGAAAATGTTCATGAATTTGCCACAATAGCGGATTTCAAAAATGATGTTTCCGTGACCGCGGGATTAGATGATGATGTCTACACGGCCGCGGGAGATGTTCTTGATTTTTCTGCAACCGGGATAGACAGAAATGATGTTTCTGTAATTGAGGAAGATATCTTGGATTTTGTAGTGATCCCAGAAGACGAAGATGATATCTCCACAACCGCTAGGGATGATCACGATATTACCTCCAGTTTGGCTTGGCTGAAAATGTCAGGCTAGCACACCTCTATAATATAAATTCTAGAGTTAGTTACCCAGGTTGATTATCATGTTAGTGAGGAGGAAGAAAAGGAAAAACAAATTAAACACACAGTAACAAGTGATGTGTAAATTTAATGCTGCAGCCAACAGTAGGCTAGTCTAGGCCAATTTTTTTATTAGGCCTAAGGTAACAGGTACTAATAATTAGTAAGCATCTAACTTAGGAAATTTGGTATACTTAAACTACCAATTTAGGCCTAGGCAGGGTTTAGGCTAGGATGAAATTTGTTTCAGTAAAATGCTACAAACTCTCAGACAACTAAGTTAACTGTAGCAAAGATATTATTCAATAAGCATTTAAAACAACAAAATTACAGTAGGCTAATATTACATATGTTTGAACATTACATCATAGATTAAAAGAAGTAGACACAGATACCCAATGAGATAGGGAAGTCACGAACGCCATATTTGAGCTAGTGCAGTCGCTGTTTTGGCGTTTCAGGTAGGGATGGACGAGATTGGATTTTTAGTTCGAGACGAGACGAGACGAGATTTTTTATTTCTCATAAACTTTTGAGACGAGATCGAGACGGGATTTCCCTTCTCATACGCAACGGGAAATGCACGTTCAAAATTTTTACCTGATTTTGTAACATTGTTAGATGACTGTTTAAATACAAAAATAATGATAATAGGCAAGAATATTTACAATCTTTTATTAAAAAACATCAGCATAACATTTTTTTATTAATCACGCCTAACTTATTAAAAATGCCTACGATTAGGAAACATAGTGATATCAGTTAGGATAGAGTTCAACTTATCCTAAAATAAAATAAATCATAAAATAAAAGCAATATTAATTTTTATAAAATAGTTAGGTACTTGTTTTGACTTTTTATAGTAATAAACATTCCTCACACTGCTTACATTAAACAAAACTTCTCAAATGTTATTAAAGTAATATTATTAAAATAATTAAAGTAATATTTACATTTAAAGAATTAATTAAATAAGAACGCCTTCGCAAAGGAAACGCAACTACAACACGCTCCTGTATTGCGGGTATTGCATTGACTTTCTGCAGGCGTTTTAAATTTTTTTTTTTTTTCTCGTCTCGATAAAAATCTCGGCCAAAAAGAAATCTCGTCTCGTGTAACGAGATTTAAAAATTACACGGCAGTGCGTGTAATTGATAGGCCTATCATTTTCGTTTTTGTGTTTTGTAAAATGTGTGTATTATTTATTTATTCTGACGACACATCAAGTGGATCCTTTTGTTTGCCTGACGATGGCGGAGATCAGTAAATAACCGCCGAAACATATGTAGCAACATCGACACTACATGTTAAGGATTGTCTGACGAGGTATGTTTTAACCATTATATGTCATTTAAAATTTCCCGAAATTTCGAGACTTGACCATCCCTAGTTTCAGGCCTGCAGCGTTGCCAAGTCGTGCAGCGCAGGGACGACGGAAACTCCCAGATTCCCACGGAGTGAGAGAGACAGAATGAATGGCAGTGGCGCGCAGCAGTAGTTGTTTGTTGTAGTAGGCCTATGCATCGTAGCGGTAGCGGCCCTCTCTACAGTTGACACACCTGATACGACTTGTGTCCATAGCATCTGAGCTACTCACTCCGAATTTAAATATGAAATCGATTCAGTTCATTGTTTAATTTATATTTCAGCCTGCATACGAGAAATATGTCTCAATTTAGATTGTAAAAGCATTATAAAGGAAACTCACGTTTTTAACAACTAACTAACTATTTTTATATTCGTAAATCTTACTGTACCATTATTTTATGAAACATAAAAAATGTTTAAAACATTTGAACCATTTGAGAATTTAGACATTTAAAACCAGGGCTAAATCATGAATATTCGTAATTTTACTTGCAATATCAAAACATTTTGGTATAGACAACAAACAAAATGCAAAGTTTTCAATTTATGTTAATCAATCAAACTTTAAACCGTACCACTATTGGAACGACTGTATAAGTTACTAGGCCTACTTATTTACAGAATATTTATTAAGAACAACAGAAGAGGAGTATTTAAGAAAAAAAATCACGTCAAACTACAAGAATAGACAGACAAACAACAAACAAAATAATTGAAAACCAAACCATTATTTTTTTGTAACAATGCATATACAAATACAATATAAAGTAAACAATAAAAAATTAAACATAGTTGTTACAGTCTTAACAATGGGTCCTTTCAAATTAACTATGAATAAAAAATAGTTTAGAATCTGTACACGCAATGAAACAGCTTACTAATTTGTAAAGTTTTTTAAAGGATATTAGTTAATAGTTATAGACAACAAAGAAAATAAAATAATTGTTAAATTAATTGGAAACTGCACTACGGGTAATTTCCATTGATAGTATAGTCCTCGAACCATAAAAACAGCTGCCTGTTTTGCGATTTCTGGCCCTTGATTTAAACGTCCTGTGTCTTGAAAACTTTCAAGCTTTTCAAGCATAGATAAAAGGAGTAGACATACTCCTTTTATCTATGCTTGAATGAAGTCATATTTTCGGGTACACTTTAAGCCCTTTTTATATACAGGGTGATTGATATAAGTGTGCCAGCTATTTTATTCGAAAGTTATAAGGGATATAACAAAATGTTAAACTGTAAATGCCTTGGATTTTTTATTTTTTAAATTTGATGGTCAAGTTGAAAAAATAATTAAAGCCGCCATGTTTCCAATATTACCGCCAATTTTGATTTTTCTTATGGTAGACCCTATATTTTAGGATTGTTTTGGAAAGTAAATGCAATTAAAAATGTTTTTATTCTTGACATTTTTTCTCTAAAGCTACTTAATCGTTTAGGAGTTACAACGTGTTACAACTAAGAAAAAATGACTTGCGGTGTTCATTCTGCATCATCTCCTAACCTAAACAACTACGTTTCGAGCAAAAATGCAAAAAGTAAAAAATTCTTACCATAACATGCATAACAAATTTTGATTCCATTGTTTCAAAAATGGCAGGGAAATTTCAAAACAGGAAAACGGTGTAGGTTATGGTCTTTTTAGAATATGGATGCAATTCTAAGACTATTTACTCTTTGTATTTTTGCTCCAAACGTACTCGTTTAGGTGCTACATGTACACCGGAAATCTGCAAGTCATTTTCTTAGTTGTAACACGCTGTAACTCCTAAACGAGAAGCTTTAGAGAAAAAATGCCAAGAATTAAAACATTTTGAAATTGCACTCACTTTCAAAACCAATCATAAAATATGGGACAATTCTTAGCTTCGGTTTAAGCAAATCTAAGGGGCGACTTCGAAAAACCTCGAACTTCAAGTAGCTTATCAGAATACCCCCCCCCCCCCCACAAAAAAGAGCCAACTTAAAGCTTTCAACAACAAACGCTTCCTGGCAAATCTCTTCGGACTTCGAGTTACTGCGGCTCACACGCTTACAACATTTGCTGGTGTACAAAGGGTTTTGCGGCACCAGCCAATTATTTTTTTGTTTTAAGCTGTTATAGTAAATAATTTTACCCAGTTCACCGTTGTTTTCCAATTTGAAACAACACCATATTAACCAAGGGTGGAATGTGGTCCAAACAATCTCTGGGTTTTTGCACAAGAATCACTATTTTAATAATGGGTTTCCACATCGAAATCTCAGTCATAAGCCTCAGTCATAACGTTTTCTAAAATGGCATAGTTAAATTGATATTGATATTGATATTGATAATATTATTGTTTGTTTACATCAGCAAAAAAATATATATATAGTAAACATACTTTCGCATAGTAAACAATCTTTTTCACCACACTATGATGTTATTAGCTGTTTTACATACGTTAATTAGAGGCTGAAAGTTACGTTTTGCTGACCATGCCAGCTGTCATCGTCATTTGGGGACCGAGCAGGTTTTTACATCCCTAGGGCCGCAAAATCAGCTGCCAGCTTACATATTAAATACACAAACAGTATCCATAGCATTGCAGTAGAATTGTCTTATTTTCGCCATTGCCTAGCAACGGTTTACTATTATTTTTTTTTGCTGATTCCTTAAATTACTTCTTCACATAACCTTAAAGTTGCGTTTTTGAATAGTAATAGTGTGATGAAAAATTGTGTTCGTACCACGGACCAAAAATGGTTTTGCAGCTCTCGATCGTTGAGCCGGCAAAACCTCATTTTCGACCTTAGGTACGAAATATACTATTGCCGTAGTAAACAATGTAATAACAGATTTTTTCAGTTGATAAACATACAACAAAAAAATGTCATTTTACAGTAGTGTAGCGAAAAACCTATTTTCTTAGCTCATTGTACGTTTAAAAAAAGTGTAATTTCGTCTGTAGAGTAATGAAAAGAACATTAATTGCCAATATAAATAATATACTATCTTAATTGCAAGTAGATAAATCTCTTATTACATGTACTCACACTTGTTTACGGACAATTCTAATAGGTATATTCGAAAAAACAAAAATATTGAACTACATTTAAAAAGCCAAAAAACTAATACTCACATTTTGTGAAATATCTTTCCAAACTTTATAATTAAGATATGAAACAATATACAGAACACGTCAAAAAGAACAAGTAGGACAAAGACAATTGATACCTAATAATTGTATGCTCTGAGTTCGTAAACCATATCTAAACTCTGATTTGCTTAATTATTTATTTAGCTTACCTCATGGCTGTGTACAGTCCACAGCCATGTAGTAGGTTTATTTCCTCAAACTATGTAATTGATTTAGGGGGTATTTTTAAATTTTGTATCCCCTCCCCGTTGAAAATCATGGGTATAGTGGATATTTATTTATGTTTTAACTAGTTTGATGATAGGGACATAAGTCCCTAAAAATCTCAAAATGTAAAACAACTTATAATATCTAAAAGAAAACCAAGAATTAACTTTTTTTTATTTTCAAGATGGATATCATTGTACACCATTTCATCTTTGTATAAAACGTATCTCTGTTGGCTTTGGTTGTTGTTTTATACTTATACTAGCTGTAACCCGCGGGCTTTGCCCCGTTTAACTTCTTAATTTTCAAGATTATCTCGTTCGCATGGCTCAATCACGTCCTGGTTGAAGTTTGTTCGCTACGCTCACTCACCTTTAGGTTGGAGCTTGTTCGCTACGCTCACTCACCTTTAGTTTGGAGCTCGTTCGCTACGCTCACTCACCTTTAGGTTGGAGCTCGTTCGCTACGCTCACTTGCCTTCAGGTTAGCTCGTTCGCTACGCTAACTCGCCTCCAGGTTGAAGTTCGTTCGCTACGCTCACTCACCTTTTGGTTGCAAATTAGCTGTTGTCATAAATGTAAAAGAAATAATAGTGCTGCACCCTGTTGATAATTTTTGTAACTTTAATGCTATTGAACATCACAGAACAGAACCAACTTGTTTAATTGAAACAGCTGTTAAGATTCAATAATTTCATTTCTCATAAGGTTAACATGGGAAACTCCAGAGCCACTGGGGCGGAGCCCAAAAGGATTTTTGAAATAAGAATATGCCTTTATGTTAATCGGGAATGTGAGCTATCATCATGCCAAATTTCAGCCCAATCCGACCAGTATTTTTCGCGTTCACTTGTCACAAACATACATCCATACATCCATACATCCATCCATACATCCATACATCCAAACTTTCTCATTTATAATATTAGTAGGATATCGTCTCAATTATAGATAACGTTATCCTTGGTTTTAAACATAGTCCAAGAGTTTTTATTCATACTTTGCGCATGTATTAAGATTGAAGTCAATAAGATAACCATAATTACAGAATTTCAACGCTGTAGCTCAAACGGTGAGTTATCAATGTTTTTGTAAAAATCACGATATTACATTTTTTTGTTTATTTTAACAGCTGAATAACGTGACAAAGTTTGTTCATATGTGTACAAGACACCCTGAATAGCACTTATTTTCTGTTTGGAATGTTTGAAATATAAAAAAAATCCTCCACGTTTTAATGCATAGGTTACATATTGCTTAGACTCCTGCATACAAAAACTAAAATAAAATAATTTAGATATATGTGTTCTCAGTCTTTAAGTTAATTTTTTACATTGAAAACAAATCTACATTACATTTTAAATTAAGTATATAATTTTTTTTAGTTTATGGTAAACGTACAACAATATTCAACCAATTAATGTTATGTTTATCACACAAAGTCTTTAAAATTTTCAGAAGAAAACGTATTTCATTGAAGCTCAACACTGGACAGAGCAGCAGAAGAGCGTGAGTGAAGTGCTCGTGCACTGTATGTACGTTGCGGGTGCGAGGCGAGGGAATCTCTCCCAGCCGGCTGAGTTGGCCAGTCGACCGACTGAGTTGCACGACATGGCAACCGCGCTTAGTCGGTTTCGAGACTAGCGCCGCCTAGGATCTAGTCGGTTTTTCGGCCAAATATTGTTAACACATATTAGCATTGCGTGGGGTATCTGTGTCTATACTCCTTTTATCTATGATTACATCTTCAATTTTATTTGTAGAAAATTTGCTATAGGCCTAGTCTGCAAAACAATTTAGCATTTTTAAGTTGTGAATAGCAAGATGCTAAAAATGCTACCACAGCTTAAACCCTGGGCCTAGGCCTATTTAATGCGCAACTACTCCACCCGACTCAATACTCGAGTTTTTACTCAAATACTCGACTCGACTCGACTCGACTCGAATTGAAAAATCACTACTCGCCCACCCCTAAATTTCCTTTTTGATTTTTATTGTTAGATATTCATTAATGTTTTTATTTATTTAGAATTTCAATTTATTTAGAAGGGTTTAAACTTAAAATGGCTAGTTGGAATGTATCATTGCTGCATAAATTTTTTCTTTAAAAGAAAAACACACCATTACCTCAAAAAAACTTAATGGAAGGACAAAGACAGTGGTTGGTGTAGTATTACCAATCCATGGTAAAACAATAAAAAAATTGTATTAGGATCGAGAATTGAGAATTGATTTTTCAGGTATCGGTATCGAGAATCGATAAATTTCGACAAATCACTAGATAAATCTAAAATTTATCAATGAATAATTAAATAATTACAAGTAATACCTTTGAAGGTGTAATCAGCCAGTGAAGAAGCAGTCTGAGTGAGTTTGCAGTCCATGATGCGTAAACAGCCATCCTCTGTAGCCAGCACTGGGGTGTCAGGGGCTGCCCAGTCTATATCTAACACCTTCACCATGTCCTTGGGGCACTTGAGCTGAGCCAGTCGCTCATACTGTTGCTGCACACAAACAGTTGTATTAAACTTATATTTCCAAAGAAAACATAGGGGTGCCTGGGTAAGTATTCTGGATAGTACAATTATAATTATTAGTAGGGATGTGTCCATTCTCAATACCAATTGTCATTACTACAGATACTTGCACATTATAGTAGTCAAACATCTTTATTCATCATAACTCATGTGCATTGGTGGTACAGTGAATACTGAATAGTGTCTAAATACATAAAATAAAATATTATTTCTAACTCATCAAAGGAATATAATGCTAAATTTATGATATGCTCTTTTAGAATTTTCTTGACCTATTATTGCGCCCAACCGGTTTAACATAACCTGGTCACCGACTGCTTTATTGTTTATGTTTACATTAACACTGCTTTAGTGAAACGAATTTCCCTATAGGGAAGTCGCTATTACCGTAGGTGGCACGGTAAGACCTAGACCCGGGATTACAAATCTAATTACTGTATGTAGAAAAATAGTTTTCAGAGCACAATATAACTTAGATATTTAATTTCAACTAAGTCAGTAACTGTGTTTAGACTGTTTTCCTTGAATTGCAACTTAAAAGTTAACAGCAATTAAATTGTCCAGCTGATCCAGCTTTTTGTTTGTAAACAAAAAATTAACATGGGAACTTTGAAAGCCACTGAGGCAGAGCCCAAGGGACTTTTTAAACATTTCAGACCTTATATGACTTCTAGTCGATGAAATCTTTCAGATGCACCATAAACTAACAAAATCGGTTGAGAAACCAAAGAGGAGTTTTGTAGACAAAAACCATGCTTGCCTTTTAGCGAATTTCCCTATAGGGAAGTAGCTATTACTGTTGGTCTCATGGTAAGACTTAGGCCCGGGACCGATTTACTTTTTCATTTTGATGTTCTTAGAGGCCAAAAACACAATTCCTTCAAATTTTTATTTATGTAGCCTATATATATATGTGTGTGTGTATGTGTCCGGACGATAACTTGAGTAACTTTTGTCCGATTTTTATAAAATTTGGTTTGAAGGTGTAAGGCGGGATAAACTTGAATGAGTTCGCGAACCAGCATGATTGGACCATGGGAACAGGGTTTAACGGGGGGTTTTATGGGGTAAAAATGGGGTTTTCTCATTTTTTACCCTTAAAACACAAAATTATCAATTTTTCTCCAGATACTCCAACTACTCAATTATTAAAGAGCTTTAAAAAACAAATAATTTAGTATATCAAAGTGTTTTTGTACGTTGAATGTAGAGGTGTGCGGATATCCGAAAAATCGGGTCAGATTCGGTTCGGTTCGGATATCCGTATCCGAACCGAGCCCAAATTCGATATCCGACACTATCCGTTATATATCCGACATATTGGGATAGACAATATATTTTGACGTTTTGGACAGAAAACTAAATCTCCATAACCATCATTAGTTTCCCAGGACAAAATTACAGCAATACGTTTCCAACGACCTAACAGCAAACGGCAAAGAAGCCGTATGATGCAATACCGATAACTAGTTTAGTCGTTATCGGCTGTTTTGCTTTACGATTAGATTCATCTGGAACGAACAGACATAAAGCAGAAAAGAACTACCATGGTCAAATGAAAGTCAACTCGTGCTTGTCTCGCTCCTGATACTAGGGGCCCTGCGTAATAGTTCTTTTTTTACAGTACTGTTTCAAAGTAGAAAAATCTAGCCTACTACTGTGATGTTACGTAAACAATAGATTTAATGTTTCCTGAAAAAAAAATCAGAATAGAAACAATAGAAAGGCAACACAATAGAAGGGTGGGAGGGGTTGGGCAATGACCTCGAAAGGAGTGCGGGTAGTGAGTCAAGTAGGACCGGTGGGGGGGGGAGGGGGGGGGTAAGACCTTGAAGCTATATATAGACTTGCACTACTTCCCTAAACCAGGACTGGCCGGCGAGTGGTATTCCAATCACCACAGGACAAGATACGTTGTTTTTTGGGTATTCATTGCCCGGTTTGACTTTGGATTGTCTTATTGTGTAGAAACTTTGAATAATAAAAAATAAAGTTAGAACTAACCACGATTATTTAGCATTGATTGTGTACATATTACATGATTAAACTATTGGGACCATGGATATACAAACTTTTGTCTGATTTTAATTTCAACATCAAAATACAATATTGCACAATCGTGATATTTTAGGTCATTACCCTTACCATTACTATTACCTTTATAATGCATCCGGTATTGCTGTTTCAGAAGAAAAGCACGTTGATAAATTATAAATTGATATTCCCGTAGTTAAAAAGAATTATCTTTTAAACCTATAAAACAAAATCATAAAATCTTACATAAAGATAACAATAACATAAATTGTAAAAAGGGTATAAAGATAACAACGTCATTATTCTTTCTCTTTGTTCTTCTATTTCTTGGGTTTCCCTTCAACACACATTCAACAAGTTGCCATGGTTACTAATCACCCATGTCGTTATCAGCTTTTGTGACATAGCGCACAGCAGGGGGTAAAACTGGACGAAAATCGGTTAATCTTTACCTATTATTTAATTACCAATGTATGTACTTTATTGGTATTTGGTACTGTATTAATAATCGGTCAAAATGGGCGATTTTTGTCAAATTTTACACCAAATTTATTGAAATTTCAAGGTGAATATTAATAAAACAATTATTACCAAATATTTTTATTCATTTAAAAGATTGAATTGTGGCATTGGGTTCCCCACTGAGTGCAGCCGAGCGGCACTAATGAGGGTCGAACCTTCTTGAGGGTGAACAATAGACTGCTTATCAGACCCTCCCCTCCCCAGTGGTCTGGAGAAAGCTTGTAAACAATGTATTGCACAAGCGTGACTTGACATTGGGCTGCTTCAATTAATTTTGTCAAATGAACTGCGATGTTTCAAAATCAAAAACAATAATTTGGGACCATACTGCATAACAATAATGGACTGCAATTGTTGAACATACAATCCATTTTTAACAAATTAAGATTAGGCCTATACGATTCAAATACAATTATAAAAATTATCTTGGTATTTTACTTGGGGTAATGAGTTATGTAGGCTATAGTGTAATTCTCGGTTCATCAAGGTTATACTGAATTATGTTTGGCAGTGAATAAGTGTAGAATGAAATTTATAAATTCAGGGTTACACACCTTTTACAGAGTTATAAAGCCTAACTGCCCAACATCAAATCGTGAGCTAGAGCCCAGCTTAGTGCATTAGTGATGTTTTCTAAACTTGGCAAACCCGCAAAATGCCACTTTTAAGGCCAATAATCCGTTCGAAAAACGTAAGGAAATACAATGTGAAAATAAACTTGAGATCGAACTTCTTGTCTTGTGAGAACCAGGAAACAACATAAAAAACATAACCTCAAGTAAACAAGCCCAAACGTTTGACATCAGTCCTGCTGAGCTAAGGTGTTGTGTGAAGATTTCGGCTGCTAGTGTACTTAATTCAAGCAACGAACTTTTGAAAATAAATGTTGTGAATTGTGATTTTCAAGAGAGAGAAAACTGTGGACTTGGCTAATTTTAAATTCTATAATTCAAAATTGTAATTTATGTTTATTTACACAGCTTTACATTGTTTTATACGTTAAAAATACATATGCAGCTTATTATTAACCGAGCCAAACTATCTGAATCCGAAAATATCCGAATCCGAACCTCCCAATATCCGATCCGATCCGAACCGAGCCTCAACTATCCGATCCGAATCCGATCCGAAATGAAATTTCACTATCCGCACACCTCTAGTTGAATGGTTATGGAGAAAATTCAAAAAATTGTTAATTTAAATTTCCCATGTTATTCTTATGGAGAATATTGTACACTGTTGTAGTTGGCTTGTTTAAGGATATATTTTGATCGAAATTGGCGGATTTATTTATTTAATACCAAGCTATTGATATTTTAATAAAAAACACACTTTATTAGTTTCCCTGTAGCAGCAAACCTAGGTACTCGTTAAACATAAATGTTAATTTAATAGATAATTTCAAAATAAATCAATCCAGGCAAACGGAAATTCGCTTAGTCGGCAGGTTTGCTGCAGCGTGGGTATTTAATATATAGATAGATATTTTGTTTCCTCAACCTTTATAGCTTTATACAAAAAATAACAAAAATAAACAACAAAACAACAAAATAAACAGATTGGTTTGGATTGAAGTAAAGGCTTGGGTTAGATTTTTGTGCCTGAAGATTTATGCAACTGGTGTTGAAGTTAACAGCTTTGTAAAATTACAATACAGCATTTTTCATTGGGTGTAAATACTGGATAGTTATAGGCCTATTTGTTTTTTTTTTGTCTTGCTTATTTATTATTACTCTGTGTGCAGGCTTCGCATTGGTAAGAGAATTTACTTTATTCAAAATGTTATAAATATGTTGATCTAAAACTGTTTAATTGGTATTCAAGGTTTGACATTCTTAGAATGATTTCTATCAACTATCATTTACCATTCAGTATCCCCACCACCTACATTTTTTAGATCCACAATATCGACACCATCTGAGTAGAGTATGAGGAGCTTGAGGTTGCCTTTGCCTGGTGAGAACCGTATCTTGCGGATCCATCCCCGGCCAGTGTGGGAGTTACGTGATGTGCGAGATTTCAGATCCCATATGTTCAACAGGCCATCCACATCAGCCTGGACTATCTGGTTGTTCTTGAATGCAATGCATGTGATCATTCCCACACCACTCTGTACAAAAAAAAAACAGTTCATACTTTTAAATTTATTTACCTATGACAGTTTTTTAAGCTAGCCATTTCAGTTCAGTTCTTAGAATTCAACATATCAGCAAAAGAATCACATATCAGCATTGTTTACTTACTTAACAGCATCTTGAACATACTTAACTTGAACATGAGTAACGGACCAATGAAGATCAAAGATTGAGAGAAAAGAAATAAAATTGTAATCCTTCAAACTCCAACTAATCAGCTGTTTATCAATTTAATTGTTAATGATGGGTGCAATTAGTGGTTGGTACAATGAGTCTTTGCATTAATGTCAGTGGCAATGAAAGGTTATAAACAAAAACATAACCTCTCTTAGAAGTTACGAGTTATTGTTAGTAATTAAATAACCAATCGTACCGTCGGTTATTAGGTCGTAGGTGGTAAAGTAGTGTACGCAACTCGCTTAAATAGTCTTAACGACACTCGTACAAGTTTTTAAGTCACTTGCCAAGGCTTGTACCTTAAATTTCTTCTTGTGTTATTAAGGGGTAGCAGATTTTTATCCCCCTGGAATTTTACTCCCTGGGCAAACGTGACGTCACAAACCAGGGGGTAAAATTCCGGCCGCGAACTTTTGAGTTTCGTGACATCAGCTCGATGGATTAAACGCGGAATTAAACATATATTTTCACGGTTGTGAATTTAATCAGAACACATCAAATTACAAAAACCTAGAATGTACGGCCCGGATTTTTACCCCCGGATTTTTACCCCCGGAACTTTGCCCCTGGAACTTTACCCCCTGGTCAGATATATAAATTAGTGAAAATGATTAATTATCTTCATTCAGTTTTAATTTAATAGTAAACATTTTATTATTAAGTAGCCTATCTTAATTCATTTGTAACATTAACTAATCGAACGGCTTTTTAATTTTAATTTTGAGATTCGAGTATCAGGATTTGATCTTTGAAGCCAACTGTTGATTAATATGATCAAAATAAAACAGCGAATTGTGTTTACTTAGTTGAGATTACGAAATAAATAAAGATAGGCTACTAAATAATGAACTGTTTACAATTAATTAAAAACGGAAATAAGAAAATCAATTATTCAATTTCTAAAATTGGTCAGGGGGTAAAATTCCGGGGGTAAAAATCTGGGGGTAAAAATCTGGGGCTAAAATTCCGGGGGTAAAATTCCGGAGGGTAAAAATCCGGGGGTAAAATTCCAGGGGTAAAAATCCGGGGGTAAAAATCCGGCCCGTACATCTTCAGTTGTCTAAACGCTAGTTATATGGACAGGGGGTAAAATTCCGGTTTTCATCGCTAATCTAATTAATCACGCTCTGACTATATCCATTAGACTTCCAAATCCGCGGGGGTAAAATTCCGGCCGCGAACAAACTTTTGGCCGCTCAAGTTACTACATCATTGTGACGTCAGCTTTGCCCAGGGGGTAAAATTCCAGGGGGATAAAATTCCGGCGACCCGTTATTAACACTATCTTTACGCGATTGTTGCCTTAACTACTATAATAGACCTGCAAAAGTTAGGAAAAGGACTTTGTTCATTTTGTAAGTAGCTTATTCACTGTTTTGTTAAAGTTAAGTTTGACTTTGAAATGAACATACAGATTGATTTTACTTCCCTTAAAAATTGGAATTGTCAGCTATTTGGTCTGTTCGTGATTTAACTTGTTTGACTCCTTTTGGATTGAAAATAAAACTAGCTGTATCCTTATTCTTACCTTATCTTTTTTTTCAATTACTGTAACCTTTTTTTGACAAATGCACAATATTTTGGTAAATCTTTCACTCGACACACTACATCCAGATTTTCAAATTTTCAGCAAAATGAATTATTAGATGCAAACTAATAAAGAAACTACCTATCCTGTCAACTTCCAAGTATTCATAACTTATTTCAGGTGGTTAAATTTGAACTTCTTCCCCCAGCTTTACCAGGTAAACACTTACATTGCACCCTAGACAATAAGATGGGATTACAACCCTCCATCTACAATGTCCAAATTGAAGAACCTAAGATCCCCCAATTCGACTATACTAGATGATATAACTTCTCAAAATGTAATTACCGATGGTAAAGTGTGTTGGCATTATTACATAAAAGACTGTACGGTACATTAAATTACAAGTTATGGTTCAACATAATTTAATTTGTATTACCTCTGGAGGTATCTTTATTCCATCTCGCACAACATTTCCATCAACCGCAAAGTGGTAAAGGTGACTTTCGGTGTCACTGAATACCAAATTTTCCTTAGCTACAAGCTCGGCAGCACTGCCTGGAATGATAACATTAATCTTTATACTGATCATTTTGCTGGTCAGTTTTATACATAAGGGTGAGAGTGTTGAGGTTTAGGAAACATACATCTAGTTTAATTTATGCAAGGGATATTCAGAATGAAAGGGACGTTTTGGAACAAAATAAAAAATGTGTGTAAGAAAAAAAAATATAAAACTTTTCTAGTTATTAAACTTGTCACCAAATAAATTGAGGCACTTATCGTAGCTGAGGCTGAGCTTTGAAATTCCTTATTCTTAGAATTCTGTTGCGACAGTTTGTAGAATTTCTGCAATGTCAGCCACTCAGTGACACACAACTGGAACTCCTCGTCATCATCTCCATCAATGATAGCCCTCCCTTGAGTATTGGATTATCACTGTGCTGGTAACCAAGTCTTCATTTTAGGAAACACGTGAAAACCATTCATGTAAGTTCTGAACTGTAGGGCAGATGACGATTATTTCCCATTTGAATGAATAAAGGAGATATTGTGTTCAATTTGCCAAGGGAGACCGGTTATTGACATGCAAGACCAACATTTTGGAAACTTGTATATATGTATTTTTGTAATTGCTGTCCTAAGATTGAGAAAATTTTGACTATATTAGAGTTTGTTGTTGCGCCTTCTTTAAGATAGTCAATCAGAATTACACCACTCATATGAAAAAAAAAAACACACATTTACTATTACACTAATCTTGTTTGACAAGGTTTGTGAGAATTTTCTTGCTTCTTTGGGAGATTAAGTGTACCTCCGATCTATAAACTGTAATTTTATGTTGCAACCAATGTGTTTCACTGTTTCATCATTTATTATGATCCAATCTTGTAGTGAATCACAATTTTGATCAGGGGCCTCCAACCTTATTTACTCAAGGGACACATCGAACAATTTTGATCAGGGGCCTCTAACCTTATTTACTCAAGGGACACATTGTACAATTTTGATCAGGGGCCTCCAACCTTATTTACTCAAGGGACACATTGTACAATTTTGATCAGGGGCCTCTAACCTCATTTACTCAAGGGACACATTGTACAATTTTGATCAGGGGCCTCCAACCTTATTTACTCAAGGGACACATCGAACAATTTTGGAGGAAAAGCCGGCCGGGCCAGCAATATTTTAGTGTGGTATGTTATGTTAGATCCCCTTTAAATAACCCACAACAAAGTTTTTTTTATTTTTATTACGAGTTCAGAGGTGGATTTTGAAATTTTATTGCTTACTTATTTGTTGCTATATTTTCTTACGTATAACTTGTTGGCCAACTAATATTGTTTACTTGTTTGTAAACATAATGTTATCAATAAACAAAACAATTGATCGCAAGAGATGCTCTCGAGTGCTGCCCCGATTGTGGGTGATAATCACCAATCTATACTAATATTTAATATAATATTTTTCTTAGTTGGCCTTTGCAGTCCAGACGAAGCCCTTTTTGCCGGCCAGATGTGTGTGGTCTCTGGGTGTGTTCTCATAAGGTTGGAAACCCCTGATCCTGATGGTAGGCATCCAAAAATGTCAAAACTGTTCTCATTTGCTGACCTCTACTGAAACAGTGGTCTGTAAGCATTATTCTCAATATTCTGATCAACTTAAGCAACCACTCTTCATCAATGATAATGCTCGGGCATCCACTATTCTCTTTCTTATGAATGTTAGTTAAACTATTTTAAAACTGCATAGGCCTATACAATTTCCAATCAATATGTTGTTTTCATTCACTTGACACAGTTAGTCTGGGCGTCAGCTAGGGGGACCTGGAAATTTGGGTGGACAAAGGTTTTTTGACTGATTCTGACTCAGTTTTTTGCGCTGATTACGAATATGCCGGGTGCCACCTTGGCACCCTTGGGCAAACGCCGCCATATTGGAAAAATGGCGGCCAAAACTGGTTTTTCGATAAATACTCGAAAACGGTTAGTTTTAGAGATATTTATGTAGAGACATAAAATGTAGAGCGTAAAAAACTACACAGAAATGATATCAACACTTTTATTTGTAAACCTCACGGTTTTAGCACAATTTTGTGAAATTGAAGTTATTATTAACATAAAGTTGTAATTTAGTGCCAATACCTATGACATATTACATTCATTGTTCAAAAATCATAATTATATTATGCATTCCACATTTGTACAAGTAACCTTTGTAAAAAATAATTGTTATTAGTGCCTTCAACCCCCCCCCCCCTCCCCACACATCACACTCGCCCCTTTACACTGAACATTCTCGTATTCCCCCAATCTGTAGGTGCAGTGAGAATCTCCCGGTTTATTTTAAGCAACAATAGCACTTATTGGTGTGATGAAAAAATAAAAATACTGGTAAAGTTACAGATTTATATTTAAGTAATGTAAATAATGGAGTTATTGCATATAACTGAGAAGTCGCTCGAGGTTTTAGCTTGAGTCATAAGTAAAGGCATGCTGTGGGTTTGACGTAAGCATTAAGCAATTCTATGTAGATAAGAATGTATCGAATTTGTCACTTACAGCTTGTATAAATCCATCTTTGCAGTCTCTTATACCGCTTAACATTGGATTTTTAGTAGCTGCAACAGCCGCTGATGCTTTAAACCGCCGAGCATTACTGTATATACAGGTTACACCAAATTTGTGTAGGTAGTTCATTGATCGGTTTCTTCTTATTTAGCAGTAATGATAATGCTATTTTAATTGTGGTGTTTTGTTTAGTCATTATCAAAGTAACAATGTTACCTATATCAAGGAAGGTAGACCAGTACAAGCTCTTTTAAAAATAGCAACAATATCTTGCTGATATTAGATTCAAGGCTTTCATGATTCAGTTTGGTTTCATAGTTGTCTCTGTTAACTGTGCGTGATGTAGTTTCTGATTCAATTTTCTTTTTTACTTTTCCAAAACTACATTCTTCATCTTCATAAGATAATGCCAGTTTCATCGCAAATGGCATTTGATTTCTAAACGCAACTATGTTAGTATTTCCAGGATATTTCCACAGTACAGGCAATTTAGTTTAAAATCAAAGCTCTGTATATCTGATCTTTTCAAACGCTTGGGTGGTGGAGGAACTACAGACGGGCTAATGTTCTAAATGCACGCTGAATGTGGGTTTTTGATATCTATGAGGAAGAGGACACACAAGATTTATGAAAATAATCGAGTAAATTTTCATCCAGGTATATGAACAACTCATCTTGTAGTTCAATACTTGCTGATTTAACTGATCCGACTCTTACAGGGCCTCCACTTATTAACTGTCCATTTTTTCCGCAGTTAAAAAGCAAGAATATTCCTTTCCCTTTGAGGTAAGTTTTAATCCCCTAATACACTTCTATTTTCCGTCATTATCGTATTCAATTCATTGTTCCAATCTAGAACAAAACACATCAATTGGAATCTTCATTAACTTTATAAAGACGTTCCACAAACATATACTGTGCCGGATCTGGGTTTTTTTCGTCAGGGTGGTGGTATTTGGGGGGAAGAGCAAGGTAAAGTTTTGCCACACCATGTATATATATATATATATTTTTTATGTAAACTTTTAAATAGAAAATCATTCGTTCTAATATTCGATAAATTTTTATTTGCCAATTTAATGTATAGGCCGATATTGATACATAATATATTATAATAGAACCTTGTACTAACTAGTATTACAGCTTGTCAATTAAATACCCAACAGAGTAAAAATTATGTAGTAGTATCATCGTATTTATCTAGTCCTATAGCTAGAATAGCATATGTAGTTGGCAGGTATTTATAAGCAGGTTAAATCGATGACATAATGCAATAACATAAAAATCTAATTTTAAGATAATTTACCTTAGTAATTTCCAACCAAAGTATCCAACTACATATCACTTGTACACTACTTACAAGCAACTCTCGCAACTGTATTTGAAACTTTATTGAAGGCTGAGCGCGCCACCGAGCCCGCCAAAGACTCGCATACAGAAAGCATAATGGCCACGGGGTGGGTAACTGAGGGATGTTAGATGAAACTAACAATTATTTTAATCAAAGGTTTCTTGTACAAATGTGTAATGCATAATATAATTATGTTTTTTGAAGAATGAATGTAATATGTCATAGGTATTGGCACTATATTACAACTTTATGTTAATAATAACTTCAATTTCACAAAATTGTGCTAAAACCGTGAGGTTTACCAAAAAAAGTGTTGATATCATTTCTGTGTAGTTTTTTACGCTCTACATTTTATGTCTCCACATAAATATCTCTAAAACTAACCGTTTTCGAATATTTAACGAAAAACCAGTTTTGGCCGCCATTTTTCCAATATGGCGGCGTTTGCCCAAGGGTGCCAAGGTGGCACCCGGCATATTCGTAATCAGCGCAAAAAACTGAGTCAGAATCAGTCAAAAAACCTTTGTCCACCCAAATTTCCAGGTCATCGTTAATTACAATGAGTCGACGCCCAGACTAAGTTGACAATAAATAGGTTTTAAGTTATTTTTAAACTATTGGACTCACCAGACTCAGAGAGGGGACTTGCTAGGGAGGATGTCTCCTCACTGGGCTTCCTTGGAACAGCCTTGGCCTGTAGTGACTTGACACTGTGTACAGGTGACCATTCCTGTACCACAACACAACAAAACGTTATATACAGCCATTTATTACTCTAAGAGACTAACTCTAGAGCCATCAGTGGTGTTTGAACTTGCAGCCTAAACAGGTGTTAACATATGTTGTTTTACTTTGGAGCGTTTATCAGCTATAAGAGTTCATTTAGTTCTAGGGGTCTGCGGGTCAGACTTTTTTGGTTCGGGTCGGGTCGGGTCGGGCCGATAATTTTGGTCCTCGGGTTTCGGGCCAAAATCGGGTCGGGCCAAAAATTATTAATCACCGGATTTTTTTTCTTTTAACTCTTATCTGTGTTTATAATATTATTTGAAAATAAAATATGAAAACAGATTGTATTTATGTGTATTATTTCATGTTCATAACTTATTTACAGCTTAGGAGTTGCCTCAACTGCAAGAAAGAAGAAAATTTTTTTTTTTATCAAGCCATTTTTTCCCATTTTCATAACTGTTGAAATATCTATATAGCTATATTACAACAAGTTTTTAATGGAACTTAATATAAAAGGATCATAAACAAATCAATTAACCTTATCACAAGTTTAGGGCCTGTGGACTGGCTTCAAGACTGCAAGCAAGAAGAAAATAAAAATTCTATGTTTCCACCATGCAATATGAATCATTCATTCCCTGCCTCCTAACCTCCTAAGTATAAAAACCTCACACTTACAATAGCATTATTAGTTACATCATCATAAATAAAGAATTATCTATTAATTGGCATTAGTATGCCTACAGCTTTACATAGGAGTTATTTTTTTATAGGGCCTAAAATAGTAATAGGCTAAGCAACATGACAAGTGGAGAACTCATCGAAGAAAAGATATTGTGTAAACTAATTTACTATACAACTCTAAAACAGTAAATAACACACATACATTGTTTATGGTATAGTTATTGTAAAGACTGTAAAAATTGCATATCATGTCATACACAGTATTATAGACCTACGGTATTGCAAGAGATAAAAATCTTAAAACAACTGATTTTGATAGCTAATAAATGAAAAGAAATAAAAATCCATAAACTCAAGTCAAACAATATCACAATTAATTAGGTACCCGAAAAGGAACTCTTAATATATAGAAAATTAGATTAAATCAAGAGAAAAGAAAGTTAAATGCTAATTTGGCAACATAAGCAGACAGCAGAGACATAGTGCCCTAATTAGCAACACAACTCAATGTTTTTTATACTGCAAGTCAATGTTTTTGAAACTGTAGGGTCTTTTTCTCGGAAGGAAGGGTAGTAGAATGTAAACAAAAAAACATAAATCACTCTCACAGCCAGATATTTCTTTAATATATCAGATATTTCTTTTGTTTATAATTTATTATGTAAAATACTAAAATATACTTTAAACTAGGTATGGAATAAACAATAAATAATTAAACAGGTACCTCTGGATAAATAGTCTTTCTTTTGACTTTGTTTTTTTATACTGTTGCGTCACGGCTTTTGTCTGTAGACGACTGGCTCTGGCTAGTGGCAGTATGGCAATTGCTCTGTTGTGTCTTTGTTCTTAAACGTCGTGAGAAAACTTAATATTTAATTCTAATTTTAACGTTTTAATTCCTCTGTAATAATATATATAAGAGTGTTTCTTATAAAATTAATTATTATTTTTTTGGCCCGACCCGATCTTATCTCTGACCCGACCCGAATAAATCAGGGACCCGCAGACCCCTATTTAGTTCTGGCCCACCAGTCAGGTAACTGTTTATTCTATGTAAATTCTGAAGTTGTTTAAAGGTTTTAATTTTAAACTGTACATAGTCCTTCTAAATTTGTGGTCTTGGTAATGGTAATAGATTCATCTAGTTATAGTAAAAAAAGACACAAAAGGCATTTCGCAAATCCTTAACTCATACTTAGCTTCAGGTACTCTAGCCATGTCGCCATCTAATTATAGAATTTTCAATGTTAGTATCAGTTTAAGCTCATCTTTTATAAGCACTTCCCTTTGTAGTTTGCTCCTAACTCACTGATAAATACTAAACAATGCCTCTGTGGGGATTGAGGGCAACATGTTTTAACTATACTGGGCCATGTTGTACCTATTGACATCTTGATACCTACTGAGGGGTTATGAAAAAGCCAGACTATATTCTTTTCTTTTGTTACTCAGCAAAAATATACAAGCACTACAAAGTGTAGCTTAAAAACGTTTGATCAGTCACTAAAACTTACCAGTGCTGTTACAAATGGGAATTTCTTTGGCATAGTCCGTAACAGGGACAAGTTTCTTAGATCCCACAACTCAAATGGCCCGTCCTTGTATACCACAACAAAGTATTGCCTGAAATCAAGATTGAATACAATTGCAAGACAAATACTAACTAATTTACCTGCTGCTTGAACATTGAAACATTGCTAACATTAGGAGAACAACATGGCAGAGGAGAAGTGTGTGTATACCTGAGAGGAGACACTCGCAGGATGTCTATGGGGTTCTCTGGAGGTCTGTTGTGCCTCAGGGTTGTGGTCTGTCCAGAGTTAACATCTGTCAACAGCAACTCATTCACCACCTTGCCCCCCAGTGACGAGTGTGCGTAAGACAAAAAGCTAGTCAAGCCAGTCCATTCTATACCTCTGAAACACAACAGGTGGTGAGAGCAGCTGCTACCAATACTTGTTGTAACGATTATAAATGTGTATTAATATTATTTTTCACTTTGGAAACTTTATAACTTATTTTGTATTTAAATATTCTTACCAGATTGTGTTAATTTCGTTTTATATTATAAGGTTATAGTTATTTATAGTATTGTTATTATTCTGCATTGTGAATAGAAATTCAAGACCCCCCCCCCATATCTAATATTTAACTCTAAGTAAATATACAGAGATATCCTTTTGGTTGTCGTGCAATCTTAGCAAGAAGTTTAATTTTATGATTTTCATAATATTGAGTGTCTCCCAAAATATTGGGGGATATTGGGGACCACTCAAAATTTTTAAATATAAACCCCCTACAAGTGACATCTTATTTTGAAGTCTTTACGACAACTTAAAGAATGGTGAAGACCACAGTTTTCTATCTCTTCACCATCCAAAATGGTAGTCTGTGTTGGAAAAACACTTTTGTGGTAGAATAAAAAAATTGAGTTTTAACAAGTATCAGATTTTTTCAAAAATGAATAACATGAAAGAGAAGAAAAATCGTTATAAGATGTGTGATACTCTTAAGATTATAATTTTAATTTTATTGATTAATACTCTTGACAAATACGGTTTGTTATAAATAGATTGATAGCAATAGAAAATATTTCAAAAATAACTGAAAAAACCACTCAACTATCTTTTAATTTAACATGATTATAAACCTTTGTAACTTGGCTAAATATTAACAATTTTTTGGATGATAGTTTTATCTTCTGTACATACGCTATAAATTACTTTAATAAAGAATGAACAATTAACATACTTGATAGGGTGGTTGTGCAGTGCAAACTCTTTTTCTATCACACCTGTAGCCATGTTGTATATCTGAAAGGATTACAACTACCTTAATGCCAATCTATTGAAATTTCAATTATACAAGGAACAGGGCTATGTATAAAACCATGTTACTCAAGATTTTACGAGCAAAAACATACGAAACATAACTAGGTGTGCGGGCCTCATTTCTGCCAATTGAGCGCAGTGAGCATCGATATAAACAAAAAACCTTCTTTACAAATACAATTTCATATTAAAAATATTATTGATTACAACCTAAAAACATGAGTAAATTTTATTGATCAATTCCTTACTTGCCATTTGCTGCTCTTATTTATGCTTTCGACTCTCTATATATAAAATGGCTCAATCAGCAAGCCCTCGATGGTTCTAGACTCTTGACAATGCTACGTAAGTAAAAAAATTCTGACTTTTCTAGGTCCACCACAGCTTGATCTACAGTGCATCTTTGACTGCGATGTACCGAAATCGCATATGCAAGATCTATTAGAAATTTCCTTCGAGAACATTTTCCTCTGGCAGATAGCCATGATAAAATATATCTTACAAGATACATTCAAGAACGAACCTTTCTCTCTGTATTTTCAATAGCAGGATTTAATGCAAATTAATCTTTTGGTAGAAACAAACTTGGATGAAATATTCTATAGGGATATTTAGTTTCCAAGTATTGGAGTATGAGAATCGACTAGGGGTTTGCGGTGCACCGAAAAAGTCAAGCCGGTACGGTACAAGCTTAATTACCGTCATCGGTTCGGTACAGCATTTTACACGGTACAAATTCGGTTCGGTACAGCTTATTATAATAATAAATTACTTTCAGTTTACTATCGTAGTCAACGACAGTTGGTTCCGAGCACATAAAAGTCTTATGATGTTTGTTTACGATCTTCATAATTTATTACTAGGGCGATGATGCAATAAAAACCCCATTAGAAGTCCCAAATCCATTAACATTTTATCATGACAATAACATTTTATCACCACGACAATAATTTTTGTATTCAAGTACTTCCAAGAACTGTTGAGTTTTATCACTTTTATTTCTTTACGACTTTCCCCAATTATATTTTATCATAAAAATAATAGTTTTATGATGACTGTTAAATGTTATCTCTAACTCAGTCAGTATTTTCGTTAATATTCAATTTGCCGCTGGCCATTGCCTACTGCCATAAAACTGTTTATGGGTACATATTAAACTTGTAACTAATCTACAGTCTTATTTTATAAGTTAAAATATTTGTTATAGATATTTTATCTTTCTATTGACGAAACCACAAGCATAGTTGTTGTTGTTTCCATAATTTGTTTACTATGCAAGCCTACTCGGTCTCAAATTATGTCATTGCATGTTCTGTATTTCGTCTTACATTGTTAGATGTGGCTGCTTAAGGCTTAAATGTTTTTTAGTTGCCTGTATTTTTTATTGTGTTGAAGGTACTTTATGCAATCTAAATCTTATGAACTAGATAGTGATTTTGCTACCCTCATTGTAACCTAATCAATTTATACAGTATATAGGCCTTCCTAAATAATTAGGTCTAGGCCTGGGTCTTTTGATTCTTTGGAAAAGCTTTAAAATATACTAAGAAAATTTGATTGAGCCTGAGATAACCTAATGATTGATATGATTGATATTGTACATGTTAACTTTGTAAATGAAAAGACAATAATCTTACTCTGTGATAATCCAAATTTTAGTAAAAAAAAACTTTGCAAGATTTAACTTCATCTTATAACTAGTTTTGAAGCTGATAAAAAAAGATGCTCTTTGCTATTACTTCATCATAACCTCCAGTTTTTCATTGTCGTCTGCTGTGAACAGCTGGCAACTACACTGTCTTTGTTTGTACTGAATGCTTTTATATGTTTTTAAAAATTTAAAAAACAACTAGACATTGTGTTGGTTGGAAATAATTTACCAGTTGTGTGAAATCATCTTGTCAATAAATGTTTCAAACATGTTTATTCCTAAAAACTCTTATCCTATTTTTAAAACCACTTTTATCATGGCTATTCAAAGTATCTCAGAGTAAAATAGGTAAAGCCTTTATCTTAACTGTGATTTTTCTTGACACAATCCTCGTAGTAGTAAAAGGTTTTGTTTTAATAATGTGTGGTACAGTAATTGTTGTTAGAAAACCATGAATGTAGGATACTATCCATTTTCATAGTAATGTCAATGTATTAAAGTTAAAAATAATGGTTTGGATACAGTTGTGAGCAGAAAACCGCAAAAATACGGGTAGCCGCGTACCGTACCGATTTTGTACCGAGAACCGAGGTACAGTCTAACCTTGATATAACGAACCTCAATATAACAAATTCCTTGATATAACGAATGTTTTTTAATCCCCTAGAACTCTCCGTAAGACACAATGTATACATTTACCTCTACATAACGAACAAACCATAACAACGACCTTGATTTAACGAATTTTTCGTGATTTCGGCTAAAATAAGACACCTCAATATAACGAATTTATCATTGTCAGAACCTCTACATTGCGAATTTAACCTCTGCATAACGAATTGTCTACGTCTTTCCCTCGATATAACAATTCCCCCACCCAATTATTGTTTTGGGAAAATCTGTTTCTTTATCAAATGAAATGGAAAGGTCACGTCATCGCTTGCGCTAACATTCGTCTGCTCCGTTTTACATCTTTGTCTGCTGTCGCTGCGCGCGCTATGTTGCAACTTGCAACTGATAACTGATTTCATTCACTGAGGACTGATGACGACGTAATGTTTAGTAAGCTGTGATTGGGCGATATGGGAGAGCTATGGTGAATTGTACAATTTTTGGATAAAGAGAAACCTAAGAAAGTATATAAAAACAAAACCAAAGAGAAAGAATAGTGTTACATCCTAATCTACCTTTACTTATTGCTTATTTATTCTATAACTATTATCAGCTGGTTATAATGTTTACTTGTTCACTTTGTTTTTAATTTATGTTGAATAAAGTTGGTTAAAATTGTACTTTGACAAATACATTTATTATTTGTTCTAATTACGTACAGAACAATTTGGCGACGATGGAGGTGAGTACAAGTAATTCAAATACCTCTCAAAACATTCAAATGATTAACTCAGCATTGATTGGACCCTTTAATGAAAGATATGAAACTTGGAAAATGTATATGGAAAGACTAGAGATATCATTCATTTATAACAACATTTCGGAAGATAAAAAGAAAATTACGTTACTTCACTGTATTGGATCAGACACTTACAGTAAACTTAGGGATATATCGCATCCTGTATCACCTATAACTAAATCCTATGCTGAATTAGTTCAAACTCTTAATTCACATTTTACACCGAAACCAAATGAAGTATCAGAGACATTCGAATTTCATTGTAGACACCAATATGAAGGAGAAAATGTTTCTGAATTTTCATTGGATCTTAGAAAGTTGTCTAGACATTGTAATTTCGGCACATTTCTGTCAAAAGCCCTGAGAAACCAATTTATACTCGGGCTAAGGGATGAAAAAATACAGACAAGGTTAATTACTCTAAGTGACAGTGATTTGAGTTTTGAAAAAGCTGTAGACATGGTTCAAGTAATTGAAAAGGCTCAAAACGATTCAATAACAATCCAATCAAAATTCAATCATGAAAACAATGAATTGCCGGTTAACTTAAATGTTGTACAACAGAAAAGTTTTCAAAAACCTAAAAACAGTACAAATCTTAAACAATGTTACCGTTGTGGAGAGTTACATGAATACATATCTGAATGCAAACACAAAAATACAACATGTAACTTCTGTAAAAAAATAGGGCATCTAGCAAAGATTTGTTTTAGGAATCCTAATGCACCTATAAAATTGCAAAGACAAAATAAGACTACATTTAACACTACTTCAAGAAATGTAAAACAAATAACAGACTCGTTCGAAGATCAAAGTGAAATATTTCTACAACAAAATATGAACAATTCTGTTAGATCCCTCTATAAGGAAACTAATGTTATTGACATTTGTTCTATGAATACCTCAGAAGATAAATTTAGGAAAATTATGTTAAACATAAAAAAAAATGGGAAAACTATTCCGTTTGAACTAGATACAGGAGCAGGGGTATCTTTGATGTCAAAAAGTAACTTTTCCAAGTTTTTTTTCCAAAACACAGACCTTTAATGAATCCAGACATAATCTTAAGAGATTTCAACAAAAATGAATTTGTTCCATTGGGTAAAACCATTGTTCAGGTTGGTTACGGTAACCCAACCAAATATCTTCCATTGTATATAGTCGATGGTAATAGAGATACGATATTTGGTAGGGAATGACTGAGATCGATTAAAATAAATTGGTCAGACATAAATAACGTTCACGGAGCTGACTTGAATAGAGTTAAACACTCAAATCCCAAAGTACACGATATTTTAATGGAATTTAAATCCATATTTGAACCAAGAGTTGGAAGTTTCAAAGGGGGAGAAGCACTTCTTAACTTAAAGCCTGACACTACACCAGTTTTTAAAAAAGCTAGACCACTAACTTATGCTTTGTTACCAAAAGTTAGTGCAGAAATCGACAGACTAGAAAAAGAAGGTATAATTACAAAGGTGAATCAGTTCTTGGGCTACTCCAGTTGTACCGATTATGAAGGCAAATGGAAATATCAGACTGTGTGGAGACTACAAAGTAACCCTCAATCCCCATTTGGTAATACCAGAACACAGCATGCCCCGCATTGATGATATTTTGGCCAGAATGGGTAATTCGACTAAATTTACAAAGATTGATATATCCGAAGCTTACCTACACATGCCAGTGGAAGAAGAATACAGAGAATTGCTCACAATCAATACACACAAAGGTCTATATCAAGTAAATCGTCTACCATTCGGAATAGCAAGTGCACCTGCTATTTGGCAATCAGCAATGGAAAATATTCTACAAGGTATTGATGGTGTTGATGTTTTCTTTGACGATGTCAAAATAACAGCCCACAGTGAGGAAGAACATTTGAAAAGACTCCGTGCTGTATTAAATCGGTTCAAAGAC